AAACTTGGATTTTTAAAAAAAAATTCTAATGTCCATAATCACAATAAAATTAAATATTAAACATATTATAAATACAATACATACGTAGTTTAGCGTGGTCCGTGTTTCACCGTTGACGGCGCGTTGACGAATAATTTAATTTCACAATATTATTATTTATTACAATAGTTTCCAACATAATAAAATAAATAACAATATTGTACATTCGGTTTATTTTTAGACGTCGTGTGCGTAAGTGTATCGGTCATCTTATCTACGTGTTATTTTGTATTAATTAATATATTGTTATTACGACGAACAAGCGTTTAATTAAATAATTTTATCTTTCATTTTTACCATTCATTTTTATATTGACCACCCCCACATACTTAAGTAAAAATATCAATGAAATGTTTATTTAAATCAAAATAAAAGCTATAATGTTCAATATTATAGTTGAATTCTAGGGGGTGGCAAATGCCCCGTCTTTCCCCTCCCCTCCGGGCGCCCATGGATAAATGTTTGATACTATGTAGGTATTTTGTATGAATAATATAAAGTAAATATTAAACTTTTTTAATTTGGCTGAAATGGAGAGAGTATGATTTTGATCGAAAACGGATATGATGCTCAAAATATTTCCGTACGGTGCGGTTTGGTAATTTTGTCACAATTATTTGACATACTGAAATTTAATGGGTATGTTTCGCAGAAACTTAAACGCTCTGTCGCAGATGACACAATCTCCCTACGACGATTATTCTTCATCTAAGCGCATAATTGCTCAAAGACAACAGAAATTCTATATCCATTAATATTTATACAGCGATATATAAAACTATAAAACTGTTAGATTATGCCATATCATGTCTCTGAACATTCTGTACAAAGACTGCACGATAATATGTGCACATCATGAGATTAATTTCTCGCATGCTTATAATATTATTATGTATATAGGTGCAATGGGTACACGTGTACGAATATGATAATAATAATAATAATAATAATAATATATATGTACGCGTGGCACAAAGTTATTTCGACGTTGTTTGTAAATACATAAAACATAATATATTTATATATATATATATATTTAATATATATGTACAAGTAGTATAAACGTGGTGCGTATGTCAAGGAGCATAAAAATCGTTATAAAATCTCTCTCCAGACGCGCGTAATACGCGCCAAGTAAAATATTATGATTAATCGGACGCAAAACGTGCGACCAAGAGCAACAAATCACTAAGCTACACTACGTCATCATCGGTAGTGTTGCGATAGTTCCGTTTTGCTCGATCGCCGTCCGTACTGTATATTATATAATAACAATAATGTGTATGCGTGTGTGTGTGGCTATAATCCGTGTAAGCATTTGTAATAATATACGGTTGACCATTTATTATAATATGCATTATACCTATACATTATTATTATTATTATCATCTTTAATGGTATCATTCGGAAGCAGCTGCTAAATCACTACAATATTTATATAAGTTGTGACGGGTGCTAGTACTCGCAGGTCGTAAAATATCTGCATTATTGGGCAAAAAATTTCTATGATATGACAAAGATGTAACAAGGATCCATTATGTTACGCCAATAGTATAAAAATCATTGAAGAATCTTATTTTAAGATCATTGAAAATTATCTATGATTTATAATGTAAAAATAAAAATAAATCATTAAGACATAGGTATGCTCATCGAATTTTTCAGTATCTATAATATGCAGGGCAATTAAATCATAGTGATGATTCAAAAACTATTTCATAATTAATAAGAATAAAGCTTAACAAAATGAATTTTAGACGTACACTATGATTAATTTCACGAACTGTTATATGTTTCATGTGTAAAATCTAATTTACGATTTTACCATCAATATAACTAATCATAATATACAATACATACATCGTCTCGAACCGGAGCATATTATAATATAAATAAATTCAGTGAATGCATATCTATCAAAATGTACCAATTTTAAATTATAAACGTATAAATAAAATTACGACCGTTATAAACTCAGGACATATTCAGTCATCATCGTTCGCACAGATTGTTTACCTATAATTTTATATAATTTCAAACGGCGAATTTTTATTGTAACTAAATTTATATTTTACTATTATTTTCGATCGTATAACGTATAATTCAAGTTACAACAATCTCCGCGTGTATATCTTATAATAATTTATATTATGCGTTATTGCGTGAGCAAGGCGCAACCGTTCAAATCGTATTATTACTGCACAACGGCGGCAGTTTAAGTCCTGACGTTTAAAATACACCGCCCGCGTGCAGCTAGATAATTTCAGGTACAGCACGATACGAAAAAAAAAAATAATACTCGTTTTATGTATAAACTTATGTGTGTTTATATATATATATATTATATTGTTAGTACAAGATAATATTTTATACGATTTGTGTTGGGTGTTCGCCACGTAGATATAATATATATATATATACCTACGAACGACGATAATAAATAAAATGACAATAATATATTATTACATATAAAATAATATAAATAAATGATAATAAAGAGAAGAATAATCGTTGTGTACGCGAGGAGCACAACAGTATTTTAATAATGTAATCGCGAGTGGTATCGCGACGACGAATCGCGGTGCAAACCGCTATTGCAGCTTGCACCGGCAACAGCAGCAGCAGCCGACTCGGACTCATTGTTGTACTGCAGAAATCGGTTTTCGCGGCGATATCTGATGACACTCGGTGCGTTTTTACGATACCTACTATAATACTATAATACAGGAACCTATATGCCCGCATGTCACTTTTCTTTTAAAATGGTTTTTTTTTTTTTATTTTTTGGCAGAAAAACTATAGTCATAATAATAATAATAATAATAATAATAATGTAAATCTGCAGTTGTGCAACGTATAGTATAATATATATATACTTACGGTCTAAGTGTATAATACATATGACCATATGACGCGGCGTTGCAGGGGCGGTCAATGGCGCAGAAACCAACACATCATCGTAATAATAATAATAATAATAATAATAATATACAGATAGATATAGATAGCTAGGTATATAGTCACATCATATTATATTATTATACTGTCCACCGCCACCGCCGCCGCAGCGATTATTATTATTATTATTATTGTTATATTGTGCCAATAAAAATAACCGCGTGTGAAATGGTTTCTGGTGTTCGTCGCACAAAAGGACCATATTTACACGACGTGCGAATGCGTTTCTCGTCATATATTATTATTACCTACTGCTAAGAAATATATATACATAATACGCGCCGCCGCGCAGTATATAAATATTATATACCTACATAATATTACGGTGTCTGTGTGCGCGTATAATATACTGTCCGTCGCTATATATATTTATAGATACAGGAGGCTGCGGTAGGTATATTGCGCTCGTCTCGTATTTTATGACCGCATAATATATTATATTATTATTATTATTATTATTATCATATGTGTATACGTTTTGTGATTGCAACCCCAATATGGAATATATAATAATATAATACGAGTATAAATTATTTGCTTAAGGTTGCGACGTGTGATGTCATGTGCCGCACACAAAGTTTTACCTTTATTTATTTATTTTTGGTAAACACAACCACTATACCTACTTCTTCTACCCCCTTACCGAAATCTACTCGGTGGTTGTGACGCCTACAGCCCCGAAAATATTCAATAGTATTATGATTATTATTATTATTATTTACCGAACCAAATCTTTTGTGATTTCAGCACATTCTTTTAGATTGCTTTTTTATTTATTCGTCAAATGTTATGCGACCGACCGTAGGCGTAGGTACTCAAAAATATAATTATCATTTTTATTTATGCCGGCCATGCGTTATTAAGTATCATCGCAAACACGTCATTAAGGTGTTTAAATGTGTTACCATATTATAGTTATTCAAAATACATATTCTCAGACGATAGTTGAAACAGAACAAAAATTGAAGACCACATAATATATATATATATATATACAGGTAAGTACTATACTATGCCTATAAATAGGGCTTTTAAATAATCGTCAACCGACATGAAATATGTAATTTGTCAGAAACTATCTAAATACTCGTAAAACAAAATTATCATAAATACGCGCGTTTAAAAGCTGCAGGCCATAAATTTAATATGTACGTGTATATTTCAACCTCTCGGCTGGCGGTTTGACGGATTTAAAGCCGAGAGTGAATTATTGTCCAAATATATAATATCTCACCGTAGATATATTAGTCCCTACCTAACTATAATATATATATATATATACATACGTATGTATATCACTATACATATAATATATTCCTATACTCATGTAATTTCCTATTCTCTAGATTATAAAACGCATGAGCACGTCGTTTTCATCTTCTACACATCCGTCTCGGTTACATAATAGCAGATATTTAACTAAATAATAAATACGCGTACATTGTTAACGATAACACGTGTGCCGAGTGTGTTCGTTACAGATAATGAAATGATTTACTCGCAGTACAAATGCACATACTTTATAATAATACGATATTCTCGCGATTATATCACATACTTAACGAACTAACTGGAAAAACTCGCGTAATAAACTATACGATATATTATATTATATTATACGCATTTATGCTTGATCTACACAGATGCACAAACAATATCGACACTGTTTGATATAAACGAGTCAAAAAGTTATACCGTTACACAAAAGTTTTGATTAAACGATAGTTACTTTTGTTTTTTTATCTGCATAATTATTAGCATAATATCATTAAATATAATTTTATTAAATTTTTATTTAAATCCAGCTATAGTTAAATATTTTATTTTTTTTTTTTTTTTTATTCATTTATGTCGATATTCGTCCCTAGATTATGGAGTAAAATTTTCTAATTTCAACTTGTAAATAACATAAATAAATTGTATTAGACGAACCGGACTTTGTCGCTAAATCACTGCAGCAGTAAATTTGATGCAGATTGCAGATCCAACAATTTTGGAACTTTTCACGTGCACATGTCGACGGCGGAATATTCAGTATGATCAGAGCGTAGATCATCCTTATTGACTCCAGGTAGAACACATTTCCGCCAAAAGTGTTTCTTTTCCTTTTCCAGCAAATGAGATATTAACCAAGTTCTCGCTAAAACAATTTTTATATCATTAAAACTTGTAATACAATAAGTTTATTTTAAATACTAAGTATAGTATTGAAAAACAATTTATTATAAATATTAATAAAATCATTTTTATATAATTACATTATGATTTATAAGAATAACTAAACAATAATAATAATTCCTGAGTTGGTCAAATATATTATTTAAAAAATATTTATTTTTATAAGAATTAAATAATAAGTTTTTTTCAAATATAGAAAATTTATAATAACTTTGCAAGAACATAAATGTTTTCTAATGAACAAAAAATAAAATTAAATAAATAATATAATAACTACTATAATAGTATGAATTAAATTATAATATGTATATTGTACACTGTGTTTTTAATTATTCGAATGTTAAACTCTTCAACTGCTCGTACTCCTGAGCACGTATAAAATGTATAATAAATTCTTTATATTATAATATTATGTAGGATAGGATACCTATGGGGCATGGGCTATGACATAGAATACAAAAATGTCTATAATTCAATTCTGAACATGGACGATTTCACAATTACATTATATAAATAATATGATTATCCTCCGCAATTGCACACTTAATTTGCCTATTAGTCATCATAATTTAACCTAATAAAAAATGGCAGTTTTGAACGCGCGTATTAATCGGTCTTGATTTATTTGCTTTCCGACTGGGCGGTGAAATTATTATGATACTTCGTATACGCGATTGTATTTCGTTCCGGTATCAAAACGAATCTGGACAAGTCTCCGTCTATATGCTCTCGGCACAGTATTTATAATAATATTATTGCACGCGTGTATGTACGTATAGGCATTCGATAGATTTATTGTACAAACGTACTCGTTTGTACATAATAAATACGTTCGTGTGTTTTAAAAATACTTTATTATTAATATAATACATTCGACTCCGATATGGTGATATCCGAGAATAAATTAATAATCGCCATAGAAACTATACCTATACGAATAACACACTGCAGCGGTAGGTAGATAGGTATACGACTAAAGATTTTTCATCTCGCATCTTATTTTCTGCTTTCGCGCGGTATCTATGTATATTGTATATATTATAATATTATGTTCGACCGATAATAGAATAATTTTCCCTTCATAATAGTATCCACGAGCGTTGTGAGTGTGCATGTATGTGTATGTGTCTAAATATGTACTCGTCGTACTTAATACATACGTCGAAGACTTGTTCGCTGTGTACTTTTTCCACTCGAGTGCATAGTAAACTTCATTACACTGCACTGAAATTGCACTAAACGACTAAACCACGCGGTGCAAAAAGAAAAAAAAAACAGATGACTAATCGTTTTTACTGCGATGCACATTACAATGTGTGTGTATACGCATATATTTGTGTATGTATGTGTGTCACGTGAATGTGTGTATGATGTATATAAGATGAAACTACCATAGATTTCTACACGATTTCGTTGCAACACAATCCAGGTTGATCTATGATTTTTTTTTTTTGATTTTTTTTTATCTCAAGGATATTAATTAGTAATTACACAGGTACGCGTGTATATGTTTAACGGCATGCATAACAAAGACATAAAAAAGCAATTCAATTACGGAGCACATGAGAGGGAAAAAAAGTGAAATAAACCTTCGAAATCGTTTTACACCTAGGCTAAAGTGCGTATAATATAATTATTGCGGTAAGCACTGCAATACGTATCCGCTCGTCTGTCGGCGAACATAATAATATTATATTATAGGTACGGCACGTCCGCCATCGTTTCATATAATAATACATTTCACTATATACATGTCATATTATTATACAGATGCGTATACGTATTATAGTATGCAACCTTCCGATTTTTTAAATTATGTTTCCATGGATATCTTGACCATTTTTGGATAAATCCCCAGACCTGTACAAAGAACCCCGTCGCTTTTCGAGGGTAATCGTTTAAACTAAAAATAATTACACGGTACAATTACATTATGTATGCGTGTATTATAATATAGTGTATACATTATACCGCTGTCCTGCGCTTTGGTGAGCGGAACCAATAGAATCTATCTGTTTTTTTTCCATGTTGTTATTAAATTATTATATCATAGTTATTTTTTAATTCATAAAATTATATTTTAATGACACGTTTTTTTTTTTTTTTTTTTTACTAAATGAGAACATAATAAAATAAATGATGTGTGAATTTAATCGGTTTCAGTTACATGTCATTATTGAACAAATAGATTTTGTTATAAATAGGTACAGGTCGTAGATAAGTTCCTAATTATTAGTGCCTTTGGAAGTGCCCAAAATATGTAATATTTAATAATGGTTCCACTTACCCAGTCTACGCAATACACCGGTGTTTATACGTGTTTAACAATAATAATAATAGAATATTCGTTATTAATAAGTTATAGTAGGTAGTTTTGGATGGTGCAAATAGAAGCCTCTCACGAATAACAATCAATACGAACACGTGTTTTTGAAGCAGTCTTTTCAATGTTTATAATAATAAAAAGGAAGAATTAACGGAGTTAATATTATAATATTATAATATATATCGGAGCGAAAATCAGTTTCCGTCCATCGTTTTGTACAATATGTTTAACGATGATAATATATTATATCACGACGAGAAAGGAACCGATTACAGTCATTCATATATACGTACACCTAATATACTCATAGATATTATATAGATTATATTGAGTACGCCTCTGACTTGCGTGTTATATTATTTTATAAAAGTTGGTATTTATATATTTCGCAGACTCGAAACACGCTGTGACATGTGTAATAAGTCGTGTGTGTTACGACAAACAGTAATAGTAAATAGTAACGATGATAATAATAATAATAATAATAATAATAATATTATAAGTCCAGCGATCGATTTATGCTCGTACGTCGACATTATAATATATGTGTGTGTATGTGCATGTGTGTATATGTAATATACAGCACATCGTGGCACCGTGCGATGTATCCAGCTCCAGTGCCGTCGGCGGTAATTCGTCTCGCGTTATTTTCACAAACTAGTGCGCTCGTCTCCGTTCTATACAATGATATATTTATGTTATTACTCGCATTAATGTGTACAGAATGATGTACATTATATATCAACCCGATACTTCCACATACATATAATGTGTATAGGTACACAGACACACAGGTGAAGGTATATTATACTTATAGCTATACTTATATTATTATACTACCGCGCTACGTTTTTATTTTGCAATATATGACGCCATTACGCATACGTATATAGATCGTTCTTATGGTTATTAACGAGATAAAGGCCATTCGTACATATTTTATCATATATATATGTGTGTGTGTATGTGTATGCGTGTGTTTATGTATGAGTAGGCATTAGATCTAGGTATAGATGTAGGATATATAATATATATATACTGTTATCTGCTTCGAAACAGCGGTGGACAATATTTATGATATTGCGCACTGCGTATACCGAGTACCTACCTCCTATGTATATATATAGATATAAATTAGAACGTCAGTTTTCAGGGTATATATTATATAGGTATACGTGTATTATACCGTGTTATATTAAACGAGTTACACGATGAGAACTTACATAAAAATCGTCGTTTTCGCAGAGTTTTGAAAACGCGTGTGAATCTCCGTACACGATACGACCATATAGTTACCGATCCATTTACAACAGCTGCTGCAGGTATATACAATATAATATAATGCGCGTAATCGTATAAATAAGATCTTAGAATAAAAAAAAAAAAAACCACGATAATAATATTATAATATCATATTCAGTACAATTTCACAAAAAACCTTTATACACGGCCGTTTGTGGCCAATCAACATTTAAAACAATAATTTGTTAAATATATTAAAACCGAAGTATTGTCACACTATATAATATAGTCACTATATGATACGTTTGTGTAGAGATTACATTTTGATAAGCGTTATACCTTGATGTAATTTACCGTACATACTTTTGTATATTATATGACATTATTACAATATATGCACCAATGCATTTATGAATAATGAATATTTTCTATCACCACACGAACTACAGCTATTAATTGAACGAGTATAAAATATGTACTGTGTGCAGAAATTCCATTTTAAGGTATTTTACAACTTGTATGGAGTACGCATAATGTATGTTTTAAATTTATTTTAAATTGTTCATATTAATATTATACATAAATATATTTATATATATCACATGATATATACCGCCATAATAAAAAAAAATATATACATATAATAATATGTAAAACAATTATTTCATATTAGTATATATGAGAGAATAAGTAATTTTTTTTTTAAGTGGATTTTAATATTAAAACCTGTTTTAATATGATCGCAGTTATTTCCAGGTATCTTGCACTATAGATTTATGAATAATTAATTTTTAATTATAATTTATTACTAATTAAAAATTATGTTCTCTTTAAAAAAAAAAAAATATTTTATTCATTCATACTGTTATTTAATGCATGTTTTTCATTCACAATTTTAATCTGAATAAATTGTATGCAATAAACCAATGATAATATGTGCAGTTTAAATTAAATTAAATTTATAATCATCGATAATATAATTACTAGGTTTATTTAAAATTTCAATTTATTGAAATATTTTAATCAAACTAAATGATTACTTATTAACTCTGCTTGAGATTTCATAAATTAAATAATTAATAACTGATACTTTAATACTTGCTTAATACTGTACAATGTTTTTATACACAATATTGCGATTTAATCGAATATTATTAATAATTAATACATTATTTTTTTATTGATAAACAAGACGTTTTAGTATTTTAAATCATTTTATTATTACTTTTAATTCCTTCTTTGAAATTATTATTAATTGTACAAATATATCTTATTTGATTTATTAATTTTACTTTGAATGTTATTTATTTGTGTACACCAACAATAAAACATTTTATTTCATATAAGTTTCACAAGTATTATTAAACGCGATACACTCCAAGATTATTATCGAT